TACCCTTTTTTAAGAATCTCAACCATTGGAAAGTTTTAGGCATCTTGACGTGTCTTTCTCAGGAACAGGGGCCTCTTCCAGCCAAAACAACCATTGTACTGAAATTCAACCTTGATTCAGTGCTGTTCTAAATTGTCAGATTTATGTTCAAGTTTACTGTTATTCCAGTAATATCTGGTAGTTTTCTAATCCAGTATTCAGTTAAGGATCACACATCTAGTTGTTTAGCACCTTGGTCTGGAAAGTTCTCAAATCTTTGTCATTAATGACAGTCTGCGGCCACTGGTCTGCAGAACCCCTCACTCTTGATTTGTCTGGTGGTTTTCTCAACGGGTCATACATTGTGGCAGGAGTGTCACAGCCAGGTGTCAGGGTACCCTGTCAGGAGGCGTTTTGGGCTGTCCCACTGGTGACGTCAGAGCGCTCCATCGCAGACCTGCCTTTGTCCCTTTGGTAGTTCAGTGATTTATGGAGCGATATGCTTGAGGCGGAATATTCTTTTCTCGAACAGTTTTCCTCTGGCTTTAGCATCTGTTGCTTTTGAATCAGTTATTGCTGGATTACTTTACAGCAAATGCATATAGGAAAAATTTCACCTGTAAATATTTAGAATGTGTCTGAAAGGTAAAGGTGCTCCTTTATGAAATACTTAACTAATCCATGGTCAGATTCCCTGAATTGTCTCAGTTGTTTCTCCACAGTTGGCTTGCATGAACCTGAACCCAAACAAGGTCCAGCTTGATGGCTTCCTAAGTCTCATGTGCCAGGTAGCGGTGGTCCTGTCAGTGACAGGCTGCGTCCGTGGCAGTGGTGCACCGTACAGCCCCGGGTGTCATGGGCGTTGCCTTCTACGTGTGTGAGTGCCTCTGCTCTGTGTGCAGAGTGGCCAGGTTGCCTAAGGGGGTGCTTTTCGGAACCTGTCCTGGTCCTTACCTGTCGTAGGACCAGAATAGCTCCCCCCTCAGCCCCATCTGAATTTGGTTAATCATTTCCTGGTGTCTTACTGTTCTTGGGGTCTGGCTGTTTTCTGTAAACTCGTATGTAGGTAGAACAGTCCTAGGAGCTTCAGGGTGTTTGGTTTGGCAGGAGTACGTGAGGGTGCCTGGGTGCAGCACCCATCAGGGGGCACGTGCCTGCCTTGAAGAGATGAGAGGAGTTCTTGGCGGGCGTGGTGTCGGCAGCCCCGTCAGCTGTTTACGTGAGGGTCCCGCATAACCTCGTGTCCCCTGCCTGGGCCGTAGGGCTGCTGGGCAGTGCAAAGGGCGTTTTCCAGCTGCATTATTCCTGGATTGGTTTTCCTCTGACTGGTGTTTACTTCCACTTTTTCATGTGCAGCTTCCTGAAAAGTGTAGAAAAGGACAGCCCTCACCTTCACAGAGGATGTTTCTGGATTCGGTTAGTGACCCTGTCTGATGTCCTCAGTTTTACCATCTGTGAGTTGGGGACCGTTATTGTGCCTGCCTCCTGGGGGCTTCCTGAGGGTCAGATGAGTCTGAACCCAAACAAGTCGTGTAGAAGTGCCACCCGGCACAAGCGGTGGTGAACGGTGGTGATTGCAGCGACCCGGTGTGCCCTGTGGGGAGGGGCAGAGAAACAGGGTTCTTCCTCGGGGACACCAGCAGGGCGCCGCTGGCGTGTAGAGAGGGAATCGAAAGGAAGTGCTGCTGCTCACGCTGACCTGTTTGTGGCCCGCAGATGTGACCGTAGCACAGAAGGCTCACGTGTGAGGAAGGTCTGCGTCTGTCACTGCCCCCGTGAGGGGCACGTTGACAGTTGCAGTGGTCCAGTCTGGAGCGCGTTAGGACAGGGAGGTAGTACCGCAAAGGGCTGTGGGCCAGCCCCTCAGTGGGCGGGTGGGGTGAGGGGTGGCGGCAGAGCCAGACTCGGACTCCGTTGTGGCCCCGGGAGACTTGTGTTGGCAGAGGGCGTCCCCGCCGTGTCCGATTCACTGGGCTTGGTGGGCCGAGACTGCCGCTCACTCTTAGGGGTGGGAGAGCGCTCGCTCTCCTGCCGGGCCTCTTGGCCTGCCGCCTCTTACTGTTTCGGAGAGAAGCCGCTGCTGCTGATGGTTTTGTAGGGTCCTGGATTTAACACTGTTGGTTGGGGACTTGGTTTTTGATACTTGATTCGTTCATTTAACAAACACTTGAGCACCGGCAACGTGCTAGGTGGTGCCCCAGGCCCAGGGGTTCTGCCCTCATGGAGTTTGCTTTCTGGTGGCGTGGGGACGAGCACAGGGGAGTTTTGTAGTGTGTTAGAAGGTGGTGAGCACTGTGGAAAGACTAAAGCGGGAGGAGGAGAAACCGAGCTGGTTGGGGAAGCGACTTGGGAGCAGTGATGCAAGTGAGCGGAGAGCACGTCCCGTGGAGGTCTGCCCGCACACCTGGAGTGGGAAGCGGTGTCCAGGCCCTGAGGCCTGTTTGGTACAGTGTGCATCAGGACCTGAGCGGGGACAGCTTGCCATGCGCATTCACGCCTTGTAGTGGGCCGAGGGCGGGGCACTGGCAGATGACATGAGAAGTGGTCTGATTCTGGGTAGGTTTTTGAGGTGGAGCCAGCAGGCTAAGGATCGGTTATGTGCGCGGTGCAAGAGTGAGCGACCCGTGCGTGGACGATTGATACTTCGGCGTGAGCAATGGTGAGGATGGAGCTGCTCTTCTCTGACAGCAGGACAGGGTTAAGGGGTCCACCCAAATTGTTTATACTCCCAAGCAAAAGGATAGGTGGCCACAAACACTTTATTCAGTAGAAACATTGCTCTATAGGTTTTACTACGAGAACTCTTAGACTGTGGATCCCACGCGCCAGCTCTCTCAGCCTGATGTCTTCCAGACACACGTGTTGGCGGAGGAGGAGGACTGGCTTGGATGCATTGACACGGCCCCTGGGACCAAGTCAGGCGTAGGGCAGACCTGGAGTCCCGATTCTGTTGCTGAGAAGAGAGCGGAGGGCCAAGCCCTGGGTGGTGAGAGCCTGGCCCCATGGCTGACCTGGCACGGTTGTGCCATTCTGTGCGTTTACTCTCTTTGCCCGAGATGTCCGTACCTGGGACTTTTTTGTCTCGACTCTACTTTTCTCCATACACACAGCCATTTGTGGGTGATCAGGCAAAAAAACTGGAATTGAACTTTGTTAGGAGTGACTTGTCAGTGTCCTTTCTGTGGTAGGTGGTGGTGTGATGAAGGGTGGCAGCTGCTTGGACAGGTGCGTGTGCCAGTGCTGCCGTGGACACGGACACCTGCCCCCACGCCGGTGCCGCGCCTGCCGTGGCTCAGTCGTCTCACCTGTGGAACGGGCGCCCTCGTTGAACAGTCCCGTGGGCGCTGTGAGGGTCAGTGTGGCACACACAGCACTGTGGGCCCAGCACCCGCAGGGTGTCAGCGCTCAGGTCAGCGGGCGTCAGACTTCAGCCTTCACATCCGTGGTCTCTGGCTCGTCTTTGATACCCAGCCTTTAACAAGTGAGCAGTGCTGAGCCTCTTGGATTCTGCCCATTAAAAGTTAATAGATGTTTTAGTCATTAGGAGTATATGATACCGTATCATTGTGCTGTTGCTCTGATATTTCATCTCTCAAAAAAAAAAAGGCTCTTGGAGTAGTTTGCCACACATTCAGGCTCCACAAAAAAGTAGCTTCAGAGTTGGCCCCATGCCCCTAGGGTCTTCATTGTCCAAGGCGTCCTTAAAAACAAACTCCTGGTTGATTAAAAAGTTAAAGTAAGTGTATCTTGGGGGATGTGTATATGTGTGTGAAATGAGAAATCTGGTCGTTTATGAACTTTCTAGGTGAATAAATTTTATCTGAAAAGGTGTTTTACTTGGGAAAGCATCCCCTAACTGCTGCCTGCCCCCTGCCGCTGTAGGCGACCAGCCAAAAGCCCTGTTCTGCTGGGGAGGCTCGGCTGGAAGTCCCCTGTGGTGACTGACGCACACGGCCTGGGGACCGTCAGAGTACAGTTTGACCATCCCTTGGGCTCCACGGGGGTTTCTTAAATTTCCTAGGGATTCTGACCAACTTTGGTGAAGCTGTAGGTGCCATAGAGGAGCCCGGCACAGAGGGAGAGGCCAGAGCAGCGTCACGGGGGCGGTGCCACCACGTGGGTTCGCGTGTGAGCGTTCCTCTCGGCCCCGTTTGCGATCTAAGGTCGGCCAGGACTTGATCGGTTGTATCAGGAGCGCTTGTCTTGTGCACAGTGGACCATGGGGTGTCCACCTGGGTGGGTCGGCCCCACGTCAGCCTGTGGCCCTCGGGACCCACACCATCAGCCGCCCCACTAGTGGGGTTTGCTTTGCTGAAATGTGGGAAGTCCCTAAGTAGAGTTTTATATTTGTTTATTTTTTTGTAGTTTACTTGAGTAAATTGATGTAAATAGGAACTAATAGTTGGTGGGGTGGTTGGGAGCCTCTTCAGAATATTTGTGAGAGAAATGTGTTTAATACCTTATTTCATCTACTTAAAAAATCTATAATGAGGATCCTAGGATGCCTGGCATGTGGTTGACATTTTAATTTGAAAGAAGCCGATATTGTCACTTGTAGTCTTTAGAAGTTGAAGGTGAAGTGACATCTGTTGAGCACCTACCCATTGTACTGGGCAGTATTGCACACTTTCTGCGTGTTGATTATTCCTCATTAAACCAGCAGGAGCTGGGCACAGGGTGTGTTTCACAGGTGAGACAGTGGAGAGGCTCATGAACTGCCCTTGGGCTGCAGTCCCACTGTCGGGCAGTGACAGTTTGGACTGCCACCCCTCCTGAGGCCCTCTGCCTCCTTGACCGTGCTGCCTGCCCCTGTAGGCGGTAGAGGGTCAGGGGGGGCCTGCAGCCCGGCCATGACCAGCTGGCACAGTGGGCTTCTGCCAAGTCCGCAGCGCCGGGCTAGCCTGTCCAGGCCGCCATGCAAGAGCACGGTTTTCAGGTCCGCTCCACAGCTGCAGGGTCGTTTGGTCCCTCTCAGGGTCACTGTGTTAAATGGTTAACCGAGGTGTTAGGAGAAAGGTATTGGATTTGGTTGTTATTACCAATTATGATTTGATTCTAATAACTGTAGGAGTTTAGTAACTGGTTTAAATCCGGTCTTACCTATTTTGCTCTCTAGTTGTTCAAACACAGCAATACGTATATTTACCTGTTGGGATTACTTCTTCAGTTGCTGTTTAATTCACACAAGTACCTGAAAGAGTACCAAAATTTTATTTAATTTTGTGGGAAATTATCAAAACATTACTTTTTGAGAAGGAAGCCTCTCTTTTGGGTGTGGATGGGAGTTTGCTGGTTCCAAACCCCCTGGTGTTCGAGACTTGGCTAAGTCTCTCTGTCTTTTGTCCCTGGGGGACCATTTCTTTATAGTTCCATAGAGCATTCCTCCTGTTGTAGAAGTGACTGTTCTCTTAAAAACGTCCTTCCAAGGAACCAGCTCACGTCCTCAGTCCCACACCTGTGGCCCCACGTTTCTCACCTGAGAGAGGAGCTTGAATTGTGAGTCAGCTTAGTCCTGGAATTAAAAAACAAACAAATAAAACCTCATTTTAGCTGAAGACAGGAAGTTTCCATGTGTATTCTTCCTTGGGGTAAAGGTCTCTGTACAGTGTCCGCCTTACGGTTGGCCCTCCACACCCTCAGGTTCTGCGTTCACAGGTTCAGCCAACCGCAGGTTGGGAGTCTTTGGGGAGGAAATTCCAGAAAGTTCCAAAAAGCAAAATTGGAGTTTGCCACCCCATGAGCACTACGCTCGATCCCCATGAGTGAAGTCGCACGCAGGCACACGCCTGGTAGCCTTTCTGCAGAGAGAGGTTGTGTGCAGACGCGTCGCCCCACTTCGTGAGGGACTCGCACGCTGGTCCTGGAAGCCGTCCCCCAGATGCCCAGGGACAACTGTCGTAGAAATGTTTGCTGCTTTAAAAGGGAGAGAAAAGTAGTTAAAACATATTGTATATTTTACTTGGAATAATTTCTAAGGAATGCACAATTCATCTCCTAAAGATCTGAAGTTTAGAATATGAAATATTTTATAGTATTTTATATTTTTCTACAAAGTAAATTGACGTAAATTTGGTTTTGTTTTGTTTTTCCAGTCTTTACCAGGTGCTGGTCTCTGGATGTTTTTGTTTAATTCGAAAAGCCTTAAGCCTGCCCACACACTGGTGTGGTATCCAGATGGGGACTTGCGGCTTTTGAAGAGTTTGAGGAGTCACAGGCAGGAAGCATTGCTCCGCCGCTACCTGGCCTGGCCGTTTGCTGCTCCCTGCTGCTCTGCTGCAGGCAGGAGGTCTTTCCTCTCTTACCTGTTCCGGAGGAGCAGCGAGGGACGGTAGACCTAGCCTGGGAGTTCAGTTAGTCGGAGCGCTTATCGGGGAGCTGAGCAAGGCTGATGTATCTGACTTGAACCGCGTTGGACCACGAAAATCAAGGCCACTGACACTAGCAGTACTTCCCAGTACTTGACCAGGAGAGGAAGTGCTTGTTTCACTTCTCACAAAAAGCTGCTCCTACAAACAAAAAAACCACTCTGAGCCTTTGGCCTTTCTGGGGGAAGCACACTGTCTGCCACTGCCATTGGGAACAGTGACACCTGAAAGGGCCCTCTGACCAGTGCGCCAGGCCCCCCTGTGTAAGCCGGAACAAGGCCATGGGGACCGTGGGTGTTGGTTCGCAGGGGGAAGGGCTGGGCTGTGATGCAGAACCCACCCCTCCCGAGAGCGAGAGGCGCCCTTCCCTGCCCTGTTCATTGGGCATCTGATTCGCCTTTGGTACAGACTTAGGTGGTTCTTCTAAAAAGTGTCCTAGTATTTTTTCAAAAACGAGAAGGTTTTTTGGGGGTGGGTGATAAGTGGACGGATTTGACTACCTTTAGGATCAGGCAAGTGTGAAGTGTGATACAAATCCCAACTTGCAGTGTGTGGCAGCTTCCTGCATGCTTGTCGTTGACACTGGCTTTTAAGACGAAGGATTTTTATAATTTCTTGATACAGTTATTGTAGTGCTTTATGCTTTAAAAGGCCATAAAGATGGGACCGAGTTTTCCTGTCTAGGCAGCTTTATGAATTAGACCTATTAAGCTAATTTGGTAGGCATTTAGCTTCGGCTGTGTTTTCAGCTCCATTCCTAGCCAGTGAATAAGAAAGGTGTGTGTTTTAGTTTTCAGTGCTGTGGTCTGTGTTGGACAGTTTTGAAAAGAGGTAGCTTTATTTTAGTATCATTTGTAGGACTTAAATTTGCTCCTGATTTTTAAAGAAAATGCCTAGATTCATCAAAAAGCATGTTCTTTGTCAAGCGTAGAAAACACTTCACTCTGAGGTTGGTAGTTGGAAGGCTTTGGTTTGAATAACAATGGTGCATTGTTGATTTGTTGGCTACACTTATTATTAACTTTGAAAATTCGGAATTTGTCTCTTTTCCAGGTGAAAAACCATCAAATTCACAAACTTGTTTTTAGGTAAATTTTAATGTGTTTTGCAGGGTGATTTTCTTAACCCCAACTGAAAAATACCTGAATCCCTGACTGAAGATGATTTATATTATCTTATGGTTGACAAATGTCTGTTTTGTTGAGGTTTGGAAGATGTAATAAAAATCAAATTATTTTTCAGTCTTCCAGAAAGCTCTCTCTCCCTCCTCTCCCTGCTTCTGTCCCTTTCAACAGGGAAGCGCCAAAGGGAAGTGCTCAGCACCAGCAGCCCGTCGGTTTCTTACCTCCCAGAGCCTCTGGGGAACCGTTGCCTGGTGAGAAGGGAGGGAAGGAAACGACCTCCTTGAACACTTGTTTTAATCATTCCCTGGGTCTTCTTCTAGCTGTCCGAAGAGTAAAATGTTAGGGCGGTTTTGGGGTCTGTGTGGTCCTACCTTGTGTGTGTATGCGTGTGTGGGTAATGTCCTTTTTCCCTTTAGGACAGGAGCCACCTCACAATTTCTCAGTTCCTGTGTGATGACTGGTGCTGATGGACATTGTTAGTGGGAATCGAGGGAGACTTTGTAACATCGGATTCGCATAGACTGAGTGGTGCTCTGTTTCCTGCTCGGAGTGGATGGTGACACCTAGGAAACACCACCCACTTGCTCACCGAGCAGCTTCGCTGGCTGTCATGTCACTCTTGGGATTCGTAGTATTTGAAGATTCATTTTGGAGCTCTTTACGAATTAGTATTTTCCCCCTTTTAAGGTGTTTTAAGATCTCGGTACCTGTTCCAGTCTGAGATACACAGGAAGAGGAGAAAGGCACTGTCATGGTAGCGGTTCTCAGTTGCTAGCGAGTCGGGCCATTTAATTATGAGGTTGATGAATTTCTGTTCTTCGTTCAAAATGATAAATGTTTTCACTGACTTTAAGTATCAGCTGTGATAGTACAGATTGCGCTTTCCTGTGGAAATGAAGTATATTTTAAAAGTTTTTTTTCCTTTTATAAAGAATGTCTCGTGCCGTTTTGCTAGACTGAACGTCTCCTCATGGAGTGGTGAGCGCTCCCTCTAATTCAATCTTTGTCTTTTGTCTTTGCTGCCTTGCAGGGCTGGTACAGTAGGCTTCACTAGACTAGGCCGCAACTCAGGACTCCTCCTCCAGCACCTGAGTAAATGCTGATGGTCTTGTGGAGAGTGGATTAAAAGTACGAGCTAAGTTCTCAATTCCAATTAAGAAGCGGAGGAAAATTTAAACTGTCTTCCTTCAGAGTTTATCACAGCCACCACCATCAAGACAGCAAACCAAAGGACAAAGACTCTGACCTGCTCTGTTGCCCTGTGTAGTCCCAGTTCACGCATGGTTGGCAGACCTGGCTGGGTTACTGATGAGTAAATAAAAAGTCGGACACTTCTGTCATTGGACACCTGTACTCACAAAGTGACCGAAATGAGGGCTGTTCTGGAGACAGCAGACATTGCCATAGTGGCCCTGTACTTTGTCTTGGTCATGTGCATTGGCTTTTTTGCCATGTGGAAGTCTAATAGAAGCACCGTGAGTGGATACTTCCTGGCTGGGCGCTCTATGACCTGGGTAGCGATTGGTGCCTCTCTGTTTGTGAGCAACATTGGGAGTGAGCACTTCATTGGGCTGGCAGGATCTGGAGCTGCGAGTGGATTTGCAGTGGGCGCATGGGAATTCAATGCCTTACTGCTTTTGCAACTGCTGGGATGGGTTTTCATCCCCATTTACATCCGGTCAGGGGTGTACACCATGCCTGAATACTTGTCCAAGCGGTTCGGTGGCCATAGGATTCAGGTCTATTTTGCAGCCTTGTCTCTGATTCTTTATATCTTCACCAAGCTCTCAGTGGATCTGTATTCAGGTGCCCTCTTTATCCAGGAGTCTTTGGGTTGGAACCTTTACGTGTCTGTCATCCTGCTCATTGGCATGACTGCATTGCTGACTGTCACCGGAGGCCTTGTGGCAGTGATCTACACAGACACGCTGCAGGCTCTGCTCATGATCGTGGGGGCTCTCACGCTCATGGTCATCAGCATGATGGAGATTGGCGGGTTTGAGGAAGTTAAGAGAAGGTACATGTTGGCCTCACCCAATGTCACTTCCATCTTGTTGACCTACAACCTTTCCAATACCAATTCTTGTAATGTCCACCCTAAGGAAGATGCGCTGAAAATGTTGCGGAACCCAACAGATGAAGACGTTCCTTGGCCCGGATTCGTTCTTGGGCAGACGCCAGCGTCAGTGTGGTATTGGTGTGCCGACCAGGTCATCGTGCAGAGGGTGCTGGCGGCTAAGAATATCGCGCACGCCAAAGGCTCTACTCTGATGGCTGGCTTCCTGAAGCTTCTGCCAATGTTTATCATTGTGGTGCCGGGAATGATCTCCAGGATACTGTTTGCTGACGATATTGCTTGCATCAACCCGGAGCACTGCATGCATGTGTGTGGGAGCAGAGCCGGGTGCTCCAACATTGCCTACCCACGGCTGGTGATGAAGCTGGTGCCCGTGGGCCTCCGTGGCCTGATGATGGCTGTGATGATTGCGGCACTGATGAGTGACCTGGACTCGATCTTTAACAGTGCAAGCACCATATTCACCCTCGACGTGTATAAGCTCGTCCGCAAGAGCGCAAGCTCCCGGGAGCTCATGATTGTGGGGCGCGTGTTTGTGGCTTTCATGGTGGTGATCAGCATTGCCTGGGTGCCGATCATCGTGGAGATGCAAGGCGGCCAGATGTACCTGTACATTCAGGAGGTAGCAGACTACCTGACGCCCCCAATCGCGGCCCTGTTCCTTCTGGCAATTTTCTGGAAGCGGTGCAATGAACAAGGGGCTTTCTATGGTGGGATGGCGGGCTTTGTCCTCGGAGTGGTCCGTTTGACACTAGCCTTTGCCTACCGGGCCCCAGAATGCGACCAGCCTGATAACAGGCCGGGCTTCATCAGAGACATTCATTACATGTATGTGGCCACAGCACTGTTTTGGGTCACAGGACTCGTTACTGTAATTGTTAGCCTTCTCACGCCGCCCCCCACGAAGGAACAGATTCGTACCACCACCTTTTGGTCTAAGAAGAGCCTAGTGGTGAAGGAGAGCTGCTCCCCAAAAGACGAACCGTACAAGATGCAAGAGAAGAGCATCCTGAGATGCAGTGAGAATAGTGAGGCCATCAACCAAGTCATACCCAACGGGAAATCCGAAGACAGCATTAAGGGCCTTCAGCCTGAAGATGTGAATCTCTTGGTGACCTGCAGAGAGGAGGGCAACCCCGTGGCTTCCTTAGGTCATTCTGAGGCTGAAACACCGGTAGATGCTTATTCCAATGGGCAGGCAGCGCTCATGGGAGAGAAAGAGAGAAAGAAGGAGGCAGGTGACGGAGGCCGCTACTGGAAGTACGTAGACTGGTTCTGTGGCTTTAAAAGTAAGAGCCTCAGCAAGAGGAGCCTCAGAGACCTGATGGAGGAGGAGGCCGTTTGTTTACAGATGCTGGAAGAGCCTCCACGTGTTAAACTAATACTAAACATTGGACTTTTTGCTGTGTGTTCACTCGGGATTTTCATGTTTGTTTATTTCTCCTTATGAACTTTTAAGGGTGTGATGAAACACTAACTTAAGAAAATACTGGTCTTTGAAAGAGAAAAAAAGACTTATGTAACTGTTGCATCTCTCAGGCATTGTTTACGCTGTAGGTTTTAGCCAAATTTTACTTAGCAGAACATTATCTATTTGCAAGACTTTATTTTCCCAGAGATGGATGAAAGTAAATTTTCAACCTAAGTGAAGCAAAATTTAACAGACTGAATTGTGCAAGTGTGGTTTAAAATTTCCATACCAAAGTGAGACCAATTATTCTCGTAGAACACTGAGAGCAGAGTGTATGCTAAGATGCTCGAAAAAAGTACACTGTCCGCACTGCCAATGTGGGTCGGATCTTCTCGGCCTGGAGTGGGGGCCTGGCTTGTCTCAGAGTGTTTTCCTGTCTCTGTCATCCCTACTGCCATTTAAAGAGAACCGCATCTGTAGACATTGTATAAGCAATTAAGTGCTGAACATCTGGCTGATGTGCTTGCGAGGCGCCCGTTCAGGACAGGCTGGGTAGGCGCCAGGTCCGCGTTGCCCACGTGAGCCTGTGGACTCTGATCGCCCAAAGAGCGGAGTGTCTGGCTGGCTGCTCTCCCACCGCCAGTAGACGCAGTGTTGGGGGAAGCTGCTTCTGGTTCCTTCTTTCCTACTTTTGAAGTTTTGCTGAATCACGCTCACATGAGCCCCATGTCTGTCTTTGTAAAGGTACATGTCATGACTGTGTTGTTAAGTGACTGGGGATGGGGACACGAAGTGACACTGCCGGTGGTCTTTGCATTTAGTGGCCAGATGAAGGTGTGTCACGTACTTTGGGCGTGAGCAGCCTCTGAGCAGCGCTGGGTCACCTTGGGCTAGACAGGTGAGTGCTCAGGCTCCGGTAACTCTGTGGGTGTGTTTTTGGCACTTGGCAACGTTCTTGATTGGCCAGATGCCTTCCCCTGCAGATCCCGGGGGAGGGCGTTCAGACGTCTGGGGATAGAGCGACAGTGTCTGGGTTCCTGTTGCTTGGTTAGCTCACGATCTGCCGAGGCTGAGTTTTTAGAGAAAATTCAATCTGAGGTCATATTGTACCCTTGGTAAAGTTATTTTTCTTGACCTGCCTTTTCAAAAGACTTGCCTTCTGTACCTGGCCTCTACATTTTTGCTTAAAAAGTCAAGTGACTTAGAGCATGAGGGTGTTTTGGTGCAGCCTTCGGTAGCAGAAAAGGAAGCGCCCGCTTTGCCTTGGGCAGGCTGTCGAAAGGTGTTTCCACAGGAGGAGAGTGTGTCCAGAGGTGCCTCTAGTGGGCGCTGCTGGGCGTGGGCGCCGTGCCGCATGGAGAGCAGGGCAGCGCAGCGCCCGTGGGGCGGGACCCTTTGTCTTGATGGGGCTTGGTCGGCGGCTGCATCCTTTGTAGTGGGGGTCCCTCTCCACAGGTTGATCCCTTTGTGGGGAGGGGGTGTGAGGGCGGACCCGAGTGGGCCCCCCACTGTCCTTTTTCCGAGCTCCAGGTGAAGGAGACCGACTGTGTATCTACTTTCTTTGACTTTTCTGTAATCTGAAACTTTTTAAATTGCATGATTTTATTCAGCTTTTGATCTTTAGGGAAAATTACTACTTTTTAGGAACTTTTCTAGATTTTGAATCAAAGCTCAGTCCTAAACTTTAAGTTTTTTGTACTCTGTAAACCAGTTTCATTAATTAACTAATGGTGGACTTGACCGTCTGAAGCTGATTTAGAAATGATCAGACTGCGTAGCATCTTCCCGTTTCCAGGAGGTTTTCTGAAGGACTGAGTCTGCGGAGGAAAAAATAATTCTTGTATGACTAGCATGGTTTTTGAGAGCTTAGTGTGCCTTGCCATTTTTTTTCTCAATTTGTAAGTTGGGGGCCAAACAAATAGGATCGTCCTTTCCTTGCGCGGAGGCTGAGGCTCTGACATGCCCTGGGTTACAGGGTCCACTGGGGAGACAGGTAACCGGGTGTCCAGCTCCGGTTTGTCCCCGGTTTGTCCCTTCCTCAAAGAACCGTTCCTCCTTGGAGATACCCTTTCAGTATTTGAGGAAGTAGTAGGATCTTGCATTTTCAAACCGGTGTCAGGCTGTGGGAATTGAAATTCGTTCGAGTGCATTGCTGTGCACCTCAGCAGTGAGGACTGGCCGGGCGGCCTTCTCACCCCTTTATTTACAGCAGCGATGGTAGGGGATGTTCTGTAGGCTTCCCCTTCCACGGTCAGAGGGTCCCCCGTCGTCTTCTCTGTGCTCTCGTCTTGGTATAATATGTGAGATGCATCATCTTGTGTCTGTCTGTGTGTATGTAGCAGTAGGTCAAATTTAGAGTAGTGATGCCTGTAAATAGGGTAGTGATGCCTGTATGACTGTTAGCATATCCATTAGGGTGGCTCGTTCTCAGCGGTGCAGACATCACTTTGTTGAGACCGACACCCCTGGAGCTTGTCCTGTTGCTTCCCAGTGCCAGATGACGCACTTGGAAGTGTGTGACTCACTCCGTGCAGCTTCATTTCAGAGGCTCACTCTTCAGTCTGTGTTTCCTTAGAGTGGTCACTCGTGGGGTGGTGCCTGTATGTGGTGTACCCTGAGCTAGCAAGACGTCCAACTCAGCGGCTGTTTGATGATGACACGAATCTCCAGACGTTGACATGTGTATACTTTTATATCGGCTCAAGCTAAGGTTCAGAATTGGCGAAGAGTAATGGTGACTAAAATAGTTAAGAGTCAAAATGAAGTGAGGACATTGGTCTTCAGAGGTGTAGAAAATGCCGTCTTATCTGCTGTTAATGGTGTCCCCAATTCTGCTTTCTGTCCTTTCAGGCAGTTGTTGTCTTAAGACCTGATGAGCAGACCTTGCTACTCAGGCAGAAGGAACACTGGCTCCGTCGTGGGGCCTCCGAGGCCTCTGCTCGACCGGGGTTCGTTTCTGTCCGCCCCCGAGGTAGCTTTCCGAGTGCTGGAGCCAGTCTCTCTTTTCCCACCGGCTCTTCTTGCTCAGTGAGGTTCTTTGTCACTCGTTCCTGAGCTTAGGAAAGCGTCAGTCAGGGGCGTGGTGCTGTGTCCTTCAGCCCACGTTCAGCGCCTGCAGCAGTTCGCAGGGACCGTCCCCGAGTGCACCGTCACACTACGAGGGTCGAGCCTGAGGCTGATTGGGGCTGGGGGAGCTGCCGAGTCTCATCCAGGGCTGTTGGCGTCTTTGCCTCTGTGTTTCTCAGCCCATTGCTTCCTTCCCTCTGCCAGGCTTGCGGGTCTTCCCTCTGTCTCTGAATGTCCTGAGATCAGGTGGCCTGTGGGTGAGTCTCCATCCGCACCACCCTCTGCCCTGGCGCTGGTACTGCCTGTTGCAGGGATCGACCGGCCAGTCCCCCCCCCCCAACCCTCCACTTCCTCGCTTTCCTTCTGCTTTACTCTCCCGTGTCACTTCCACCCAAGATGAGACTGGAAGGGACCACATGGGTTTCTAGCAGTGACATCTCACGATTCCCCAGGCTTGCGTGGAGAGATGTATAAAGACCATTCCTGTTAAATGATGGGATTACAAAGACTTGGCAGGACAGCGCCTTCCTAAGGAATCAGAAGACTGGCAGGCGAGATGCGGAGCAGGACCTGGGCGGGACGGGCCGGCGAGTTGGTGAAGGGCACAGGCGCAGACCAGAACCGCGCTCGCTGGGCCCTGGACCCGGAAGGAGTGTCTCGGCCCTCGGCTGCTCTACCCCTGCCCCAGGAGACAGGGCGCCAGTGAGGGAGGTCCAGCCTCTAAACCCTGGTTTGGTGTTGAATACTGTAAAGTACGAGTTTACTAGCATATTTGAGGTATCAAAATGACTGGTATTTGAAGTGATATTTTAGTAGAAAAGTGCTGTTAGGCTTCAGTATTCATGAGATTTCTTACTAGCCGGGTGTTACATCGCTTAAGTCATTTCACTGTTAACATTAGCCTGAGCAGACTTCGCTAATGAGGGTACATTTCTGTCTGCGCGCATACCCACCTGCCGTTCAGAGACCGGTCTGTCCCCTTCATTTCTCCCCTTCACATCACTTGGGTTCTTCACCTGTTCTCTCGGTGCTCACCAGACTCCTCTGACTCTGTCGGCTGGGTTCGCTGTCGGGCTTCCTGCCTTGGTGTGCAGAAGGGCTGCTCCGCCCCTGGTGAGGAGACTTGTGTCCAAATGATGATGTATTAATTATAGAAGTGTTTAATACCAAGTCTCTATTAGCTTGAACTGTTATTCTCAAAAATAATTTTCTGAGACTTTGTGTTTACTAACAATGAAAGCCCTAATTCAGTATGTTTTCTCAGCACTCCTGTTTAAAAAATTAGGGGGATGGTGTTAAAACTCGTGAGTCCCTTTGAAATGATGGTACCACAGTGGAGAGAAGAATGGAGTTCTGATGCCAAAGGCCTTGTTCTTGTGATAATTAAAGGGGAAAAGTTGGGCTGAGCAGTCTGTGTGTAGAGAAGTGCTGTGTACTGGGGAGCTACACGGAGCTGGCTACCCGGGACTCGGCCTTCGGATTTTTACACTTGGTTAGACTTGGTGGGCACTTCAGGGCTGCAGACCCCTTTTCCTCCATCAAGGCCGCTTCTGTTCATTTGGGGTGATTTTCGCCTAGCTCTCCCCTCTGTTGGAAGACTCCATGTTCAGCCACTTTGACTACTAGAATGCAAAGTAGCTGAGGGCGCAGTGATTAGTGGACATGGCCAGGGCTGGGCCCCATGTTGCTCTTCACCTTGTCTGGTCACGAAAAGGTTTTCATTTAAACTGCTCCCTCCAATGCTGGGAGTGAGACTTTACTGATTCACCTTTAACAAGGTGTTGCGAGAATTGGTGTTACTTAAGTTTTTGTTTCCATCTCAAATCCTTTATAAAAGTTAAATTTTAGTTTGTTTTGTTTTGGGTTAGGCACCCCTTTTACGTGGTAGTTAATGTCCTTAACTATTGACATAGTCTTTTATTCAGAAGTAAACAGAACGTTCGGTGGATATGTATCATTACTCATTTCATGAACTTTTCTTTCTAGGGGAGTCCCATAATCTGAAGCTCTTTACCTAAACCCTTACCCTTACTGTATGTAATGACCTTTGAAAGTTCCATTTGGTTATTTGGATACACAGCATGTTTGCAGAAGGGGATGCTAGATTAAATAAAACAACTGAAGAGCAAGTCAAGGCAAAGCACAGTGGTCTCAAATCCCCCCAGCGTGGCAGCTCAGAAAAGCACTGCACTGTAATCGTCGTCCATGACTGCCCCCCGCCCCTGCCGAGGGGTGATCCGAGGGCTCTGTTACAACGGAAAGTACATTTCTGTGCATTTGGCAGTAGCACAAGTTGACAGCGGACAGCCATAACCTTACTGGAGGCTTACGTTTCTCTGTCTTGGTTAACTCAGCCTGACCCTGGTGCTGTGGATGGAGGAGTGCTTGCTTCATTTTTGTCTGACTCCGGACTGACTAGTCTGGATAACTTTTCAATTATCAGTGTAGCCTAGACTTTTTAAGTGGAATGTTCCCTGATAACTCACTTGTTGTTGTGATGGTTGGAAACTTACATTAAACTCATTGCTGTTACTGAAATCTCAAATTGGCAAAGGCCAATGGCCAGGGCGTCCCCTGATCAGCATCTGAAAGTCCTGTGTCTGACTAGTGCCTTCTGGTTGCCGACATTAACTCTGCTGGTTTACTTACACCTTTCCCTTCCTGGTTGAAAACTGCTACAGTTTTTCTTTTTGAATTTTGTTACAGCTTGTGAAGGAGGTAAAAGTATCTTTATATTTACTTACTTTATATGCAGCCTATATTTTTAGGTTCAAAGAAACCAGGTAGCCTAGTTGGTGTCGCAGCTTAAGTGTTATTTATATGTATTTGTTTCTTTAATTAAAAAATAAAGTTACTTATATTAATTCTGTGAGTATACTTTCCTGGATTGTTTTCCAGTGTAGCTTTGACAGGTGCATCTGAGAACTCGCATGTAACAGGTTTCACATTCCACAACAGGGCAAAGCTTGAGATCCACAGAAAGCACAAACCCTGCTCCCCCACGTGTGTGTGTCCACACGCAGAAAGCACAAGAGTGGCAGTGTTCTTGGTGTCCCGCAAGTGCTGGTCGTGGAGCACAGCCGGAGCCGGGTGTCAGGACAGAGGGCCACGCTGGAGCGCTTCGGGCAGTGCGGTGTCTCCGTAGGGGTCCCACATGGTAGCAGTCCAGTCTGATAGTTCGGATGAGTTTGTGTTTCTTTGGTGGAGAGAGACAGTATAAATGTCAGCAGTGCTGCTGTTAGTTATATTTGGGGGTCACTCGCTAACATGGGTTGTATGGGCTCTGCCCTGCAGTCTGGGAGTAAAGAGGCCAGGACAGACTCGCAGGTTTTGGGGTGACAGTTTGAGAAATTTGTGCTGTAGATGGTTTGTTTTTTTAATCTTAAATTTTTGGGATGTTCAACCTCCTGTCAGTAGTGTCCTGAAAATATGGAGAAATTTCATATTTTAAGAGGGCAAATACTACTGGTGTTTAGTAATTTGTATTAGTTTGTAAGGAGGAGGTGAAGTTATCTAATGTGTATGCCTGACTGCATTTCATAATAATAGAGCAGAATTTGACCCAGGTGTCCTGAGTGGCAAACTAGTTCCAAGACAGATGTGCCAGTTGAACTACGTTGGTTTTCACAGTGGTTCTAAAAGTCTAAGGGACTCTATTGCCTGTCGCACCACCTGCTTCCAGACTAAATCAGTCTGTGAACGAGGGAGCGAAAGAAGACAGTGTGTGTTTTCTTCTGCTGCCCTTACTCCGAACCTTCTCCACCTGCATAGTCCCTGTTTATCGTGAATGAAGAAATATGTCATTGTCCTGAGTTTTGCTGGTAGGTCAAAAGATAAAACTCTCGGGATGGGGGAGAAGTAACTACCTTTGTTTCCCACTCTGTCTTGTGTATTTGTCTTCTTGGGGAAAGACTTAGTCAACTCCAATCACGTGGAATGATGGCTAAGCTGGCGCACACTAATGAGACAGGTTGTAGAACAGTTAACCTGACCTGGAGGAGGTGGGGGGCTTCCCCTCTCCAGCAGAGCCGGGTGTGTACCTGCAGGGAGAGGTGGGAGTGTAAGACCTCAGGCTCGGGGGCTGAGGGGGAGGAGTGCCAGAGATGCAGGCAGATGGAGTACCAGGCCCCTTTGGCCTAGTACTACGTGATAAGGCAGAGCAGTTAGAACTTGTCCGTCCTGGGGCGTGTGTGTTCTGTATCTTTAAGTGTTTTAAATCTAAACGTGTGTGAGAACGTCATGCTTCTCAAGATTCTTCCATTAGAACGTCTGTTAATAGTCCCGTGGGAAATTGCTTTAATTAGTCTAGGTGAAGCAGTCCTAGCAGTGTAAATATGTGTAATTACAATTTCCTGATTTCACTGTGAGATCTCTAACTTTTGAGTGGCAAACAGATCAACAGGTCTTTGCTCATGGATTTTTCTGTGGGGTTGTTAAAATTCAGAAGCTTTATTTTTTTTAATAAGGATGTATTGCTTTAGTGTCCGACGGAGGCACGGACCCTGCTCCCCCGCTTCCCCCCCAGTGCTGCTGCAGCTGGCAGATGGCCGGCAGAGTCCAGGGGCAGCACGGGCATTGCCGCGTCGTGCTCGGGTGTCCCGTGCTCTGTGGGCAGTCACGCGGGAGCTGTGGCGTGCTCCTCACTGCTCTTCTGTTTGTTTGGTTAGGTGCGTGTCAGAACTCGTTGCTGTGCAAAAGTTAGTAGTCTTCTTCAGGAAGAAAGCCAGTTCCTTTAAAATACTCTGTGAAATTGCTTCTTTCATTTCTTTATTTTTAAGCCAAATGTCAGCAGAGTACTGCTGCTTTTATCTAGTAATTTTGATATCTAAGTATTAATGCATTTAAAAAATGTCTACAGTGAAAAATGTCTTTTCAGCATCCTGCCTGTTGTGCTTTACTTGGAGTTTCTGTTGAAAGACCAGTCTGCGCACTGGGGGAGTGTAGTGTGTGTGCTACGTCATCGGTGACGCATCGTGGGTCAGGCATGGCCGTGCGTGAAGTTGCTGAGTCCCCGGTGTATGTTCCGAGTTGTTCACCGATTTCCGGTGTACCCTTCATCGTCTACGGCTTTTTCATTTTTATTTTCTAAGGTATAACTAGTTGGGTCCATCTCATACTATGTTTTAGTTGCAAGCAGAAAGTAGAACTTGCTATAAACCAGGTTGCTTTCATGTTGAAAGAAATACAATTGAAATTGTAGATTTAGGATGGTTAACCACATATGACAGTTCTAACTTGACTGTTCTAACCTACTGTATACAACCTGATTTTTAAAATTGTAGACATGTATGATCTTGGTTTTAATGTTTCTAAAAGTGTTACTGTTTTTAAAAATGAAAAAGAAGCAAATCTGCTAACGAGCTGTTGGTCTCCATTACTGACGCTGTAAAGTACCCTGTTTTTCGTGTGTGCTGTGTGTTATCTGCCAGCTGCTGCATTGGCCTTCAAAAGTATTTGGAAACTTAAGATGAACTGCATTTCTTTCGAAGTATATTCCTTTCTGTGGTATTTTTGTCCTGTAACTGAAGTATAGTAATTATTTTATGGAAATGTTAGCACTTATGTACCAACTTTGAATAAAATGAAAATGGACATCTCTGTGGCTGAGTATTTTTAGTGTGAACCTGTCTGCCGTCCGTTCACAGCGTCCTGTGTTTCAGATGAAGGGGTTGTACCTTGGCTCTTCTCCTCTTGGCCCGTGAGTGGCTCCAGGGAGTTTCCCCGCTGCCACCGCTGTTGTCTGCCTCTGCAAATCAGAACTCCTGGGGGTCCACCGAGAGTGGAGTTAGATGTGACTCACCAAGTGAGAAAATACCCTGGTTGTTAAGAACAGTACGGGGAACCCAGAAATGGTCCGGGTGCACCAGCAGTTCACACGCTGCCACACGGGCTTGTCGTCTCTCCACCACGCACTTCTCTGAACCACTGGAGCGAAGGTGCAGACGTCATTCTGTTCCAGCCACCGAGTGGGTGGGGGCCTGTTTCCTAAGGACGGCCGCTCATCCGGTCACAGTGTGATCAGTCAGTACCTGGGAAGGAGCGGTGACACGTTCCTCTGCGTGAGGGGCATCAAACTCACCTTCATGGGCCCATACCAGCCTTGCGGTTGCCCTCAACGGGCTGAATGTAGTGTTAGGACTGTAAGTGTAACTGCCCTTTACAGTTGAGCCAGAGCTTGGTGCTGCTGCCGGGTAGAAACAAGGTGGAGGATGGGATTCGTCCCACAGGCCTTGGGTTTGCCCCTGTGCTCTACATATAGATGGTGTACGTTCGACTCTCTGTGCGGCACGTGGGCACTTCCCATCAGAACGTCTGTACTGTACACTCGGGCCTTGGAACACTGACGTCCACAGTGTGGACAGTCTGGGTGACGGCCATCGTTTCTGGTGTGTCCCCTTGGGGAGATCCGTGGTTTGCTTTCTGTAAGCCTCTCGCTGGTCACTGCATTTTGTCAGCTGGTCAGCGCACAGCCTTATTCTATGTGTGTTACTGTTTAAAACTACCATATACAGCACACTGGGCGTGGGAAACAGGGAGCTCAGGCCAGTAGATGCTAGCCCGTGCCTGCACGAAGCCTGCCTCACCTGTGCCGTCCCTGTGAAGCGCATCACAGCCTCCTTGCAGGTAGGGACACCGGATAGCACTGCAGCACCACACTTGGGCCACGTGACACAGAGCCCAGCGTGTGAGAGCGTGGCACTGTGCAGGCCACGGAGAGGACCCTTGTGTAAGGTCTGGGGGCCGAGGTGAGAAGGCAGAGCGCCACCTTTGGACCTCGGCTGGGAACGAACGCACGTGCCAGGAGCTCGGGTTTCCTGCAGCTCTGCTGGCGCGTGTCTGCCGGTGGCTGCAAACACAGCGCGGGCACTGGTGGGGGGCCCAGTGAGTTTCAGCTGTCAGGCTCACGGCAGGCACGGCCCCCACAAACGGTGAGAAGCAGCTCAGCTGTGTAAGGTGAGCGCCTGTGTAACCGTCAGCCCCTCTCCCACAGGGTTCATTCCACTGTGACAGTTTGGACTTTTAAGGGTTTTCTGACTGTCAACCAAACCTGCCTCTGGCTTTCATCACACAGTCCCGAGTTCTGCGTCTGTAGTATCCTCCATTCACGTGTTTGAAGTTAAATATTCAAGATAGATATATAAAACCTCAAAATTCAGCATAACCTCTGTTCTCTGGCTTGTGCAACGAAAGATGTCGGTTTCAGACCTTTTGCCGTCTGAAAGCCCCTTTTGGGGCTGTTTTGGACAATTTTGAGGTAGTTGGTGTCCCCTTTTGTGCATGGCCTGTACTGTAGCACTCCAGGGCAGCCCCGCTGCCAGCGGGCTGCAGGGGCGAGAAGTCAGTCGGACGGCACGCCGGCTGCCGCCCCTCCGGCCTCCCTCCCCTGGCCCCAGTGTACGCAGGGCGCTGTCAGGGCCTGTGGTGGGTTCTCTTCCACGTCCTGCTGTCTGCGTGGCACTTGCTGGCTCAGTGTCCATAGCTTTTCCAGTCTGGGTTTTATGGTTGTCATATTCCCTGTACCCTAGAAGTTGACCATCCACTGTTTAAAACATTGTTATTATTCCAGGCCAAGGCTCCTCAGAAGTGTCAAGGCGCCTTCATGAGTCTCCACTGTACCTTCTAGTTTCTGCCTTTTCGCCGGTCTGTTCCCGGTCTGAACTGCATGTCTCCTTGACAGCCTTCATTCTGCATCTCTGCCTGTCCCCTCACCCCCGAGTTGCTGTTTTCCTCTTTGCAGTTAAGAGCTTCTTAAATTTCATGACTTGGTTTAATCCTGTATTTCTTGCTGCTGGAGTTAAGTACAGTTAGCAACTTTCACGTCTCATCTTTCCATTTATTCTTGATTTCATGTACTTACTCATCAAACAGGAGAAAATACTGCAAGTCAGGTTCTTTGCATATCCAGTCTCTAGTAAAGGTGAGTAAGGTGTGGCCTTGAAGAGCTTAGTTAGGGAAGGCGGTGTGCTCCTGAATAACGACACTGGCAAGAAAAGCACGTGTGTTCAAGATGCACGTGGGTTGCAGAGGAGAGGCCGGCTTGCAGGAAGAAGCCGAACCTTACTGGGTTTGCTTCCTCCGGTCCTTCCGCTGGTGTCCCCTCCTCTTCCCTGCCCTTGAGGTGCACAGTCCCCCTCCCACTCCTTGAATTAAGCAGCAGTGCAGTGGCCTGGTGTTGGGGGGGCACTCTTTCAGTCTGTTGTTCAACCAGGTATGCAAATCTGATTCTTTATAGCCCAAGGTTCTGGTTCTGTTGGTGCATATTTTAAAAAATTACTCTCAGTGAATTGATCTTTTTGCTAAACTCACACACTGATGCTTAGAAGACTCACCAGATCTAAACAGAATTTTCTTACAACACTTTGGTCTCTACTATCAAAGTCCTCTGCCGAGTCTTCCCTCTCTCTCCTGGTCTCCCTGTCCTTCCAGGGTGTCCTCCTCCCGCTCCCGGTGGAGGCTGAAATATCAGGCGCAGGCAGGGAACTGAATTGTGCATGAGGGAGAGCAGTCAGCAAGGCAGGTAGGTCGCCAGTGGCCACCTGACTCCCAAGCTCGCTATCTGTTTCATGAGCTTTGGCATTTCATGTACCTGCTGCCATAGTAACCAGGACTCCTGCCAATCTTTCTGTTTCCCATCTTCTTTTATTCATCTGCATGTGCATCTGGAGGGGGACAGGGAGGGTAGAAGTGGAGCGCTCCCAGGAAAGGGAGGAGGGTGGATTTGAGAATGCCCTCCAGACAGGACGCTGGGTGCTGATGCCCTGTGGGAGCAGCACGGAGCACGAGCAGCCGGTCCCCCTGCCGGGATCGTCCTTTCTCTGTTGCACGCTCGTGGAGGGCTCTGTCCTTTCTGTGAGCAAAGCAGCGTTTTTATGGTCCTTCAATGAGAGGAGAATGCTGAGCATCCTTTATAATGTGCACTTCAGCCAGCGTCATTTAGCTTTGGGGTGATGAGAAGCCAGGCAGCTTCCCGCTAGAATGTGGTTCTCACCTTTGTTTGCACTTGTGGTGCTTTAAAAAGTTCTGGTGCCCCAGATTTTTGAGTCCCCAGGCCAGCCGAGCAGGAGCCTCTAAGGAGAGACCCTGCCAGGCAGTGCCGAGTGCTCGAGAGGGACGCCTGGCAGCCTTTGCCTCTGACTCACTGGGTCAGGAAACAGTGGGCCAGTGAGCTCCCCAGTCTGAAAGACATTGTTTGACTTGAGACCTCGAAACAAGTGGGTTAATTAAGGAACAAAACTGCGTTATGAACTACACAGATTTACTGTTAACCTAGGCACCTAGTAACTGAGGACTGGTGAATTCATACAAAGTTGGATCTCATGAAATCAAGACTTCCTTCTTACTCTGTGGGATAGTACTTGAGATATATTTGTTCATCACCTTTTGTTACCAATGCTGGTGTTGATACCTGAGCACGTACTGGCTGCAAGGGTCCCTTGGATGCCACTGCACTTAAGGTTAAGGTGTACCCAGGTTATGCCTTAAAGGCAGGCAGCCTACCTTGCAGCTGAAGTTACTTGACGGCTGTCTACTTCCTTGCCATTGGCAAGTCCAGCCACGCTGTGGGTTCTGTTGGATTGTTTGTGCTTTGTTGTTGCCGGGGCGTTACTCTGTGCTGAACTCAGCAGTCATTGGACTCTTGCTCCTCCGACTTCTCTTTCAGTCTTCTCTGGGCCCCTTGTCTTCCCCACTGACCTTCAAGAATACGTTTCAATGTCAGATTTCCCAGGTCCCAAAAATCTCCCTCGTGGGCACGTGGCCTGCTCTTATTTTTCTCCTCACCTGGGTTTCATCGGTCTGCCCTGATTCCAGGACCAGTGATTTCCAGGCTCCTGACCTACAGAGCCCAGTTTTCTTGGCCCCGAAGAGCACAGCCAGCTGCAGCAGCCCGGGGTGCTGGGGTGCTGGGGCGCACCCGCGGGCTCCCCAGTAGCCGCAGGGCAGTTGTCGCTGGTGAGGCTGGGGGGCCAGCGCACGCGCTCTGGACGCTGAGGCAGCGCCAGGGCTTTGACAGGGCAGTTTCTGGTCATGGCATTGACTGTGAGAGAGCGGTGGGCATAGGTTGAGGGGGAAATTCTTCTTAAACTCAGTTTGCCCCTAAACAAGTTTGTTTCTAAAACACCTTTCCATAGCTCATTGTAAAACAAATGAGATCACAGAACAAAGGGGGAAAAAGGCTACCCAGGGAAAACTAATAACAATTTGCTGCATATTCATCCAGACTTTCTTTCGTGTATGTATGCATAATTAACTTTTTTCCTTATGGAAAAAGAAAATGCTGTGGCATGCTGATTTCTTTTTTATTTTTAAAGATTTTTACTTATTTATTTCTAGAAATGGGAAGGGAGGGAGAAAGAGAGGGAGAGAAACATCAATGTGTGGTTGCCTCTTGCATGCCTGGCACCAGGGACCTGTCCCGAAACCCAGCCATGTGCCCTGACTGGGAATCCAGCCGGTGACCCTGTGGTTCACAGGCCTGTGCTCAATCCACTGAACCACACCAGCCAAGGCCTGACTTCTTTACTGAAGTATTTTCATGTCGGGATGTAAGGACCAACACCCTGTTTCTAACGGCTGCGTGTACGTGTTGGGTCGGTGAAAACCGCTCACTGAACCGGCC